ACGTCGTTGCCAAGCGACGAAAACCCAACCCCGATGACAAACACCGCGGGGGGCGGGGAGGGGGGGGCGTTTTCGTGTTTGAGTTGTGAGATGAGTGACCTCGTATCCCTACAAAGCCGGGACAGAGCATGGCGGCGAGGGCGAGGGGTCCGTGCAAGATGCAACAGGGGGGGTGTGCTCATGGCCGTGCATGCCGCAGTAGTTGGACCATAGACCTCGCATCCCTACAAAGCCGGGACGGAGCACGCCGGGTCCTCACAGGACCAGGCTCTCATGTCACCAAGCCCGAAGCGCCGTGAGGTATTCGGCGAGTCGCATGAAGGATGCGCTGCATCCTGCGAAGGGTGTTCGGCATCTTGTGCTTACGNGACCTCGCATCCCTACAAAGCCGGGACGGAGCACGCCGGGTCCTCACAGGACCAGGCTCTCATGTCACCAAGCCCGAAGCGCCGTGAGGTATTCGGCGAGTCGCATGAAGGATGCGCTGCATCCTGCGAAGGGTGTTCGGCATCTTGTGCTTTCACTTCCAGAGACAGTTGTAAGCACTGTGTAACTGCCTCGAGGGTGCTTTTTCCAGTTTAACATACAGTGGTGCGATCATCCCCTTTGCACCGGGGTGCGATCTCGATGAAGGTAGGCATGTAGCGACCGCGATGCTTTTACGTCACCGTAAGGTACGGGCAAGAAAACCAGGCTCGAAACGATAAAATAGAGAAGCTGCCCTTTGGGTACAGGTGGGCAGACAAGAATCGAAGTTCGTAAGGTAAGGGGCGCTTTCTTGTATATGCCGTAACATGCAAATGAGTCAAAAGTCGAACAGAATGGGTTCTATGCACTGGGTACACTCGGACCGTCAAGACTTGTTACAAGAATTGAACGTATGTGTAGAAGAACACTCTACGCAACGTATGCAGAGTAGATCTTAGTAGCTACATGTTGCGCGGGTGACCTTTTTTGGGCCAGTTTTTTTTCTCCTCAAAATCTGTACCAGGGCGCTTCCCTCTTTTCACGCTGCCCTGTAGAGATTTCCATTGCAATATTCCCCTACTACTAGAAAGGCTTCGCAGCAGCAGCAGCAGCAGCCAACCTTTACACCGCAATCTAACGCTGCAGCATCGTCCCTCCCATTTCCCGTTGTGTGTTGCCTGTCGCGGCCGTGACATGAAAACGCTCGTTTTGTGGCACAATATCGTAGATCTGCGCCTGCTTGCCGCCTTTCTTGATCAAGATGCCGAGCTGCGGACCGTGGATAAGGTGAGTTTGGTTCTTTTGTTATGTTTCGCTCTTTCCGATAGTAGGGTCAGATTTCATTTGTTTGTTTCGGATGTATATGTATATATTGTGCTCTGGGATAAAGATCTCTTTTTTTTTTTTGGTCTTTCAGATAAGGTCGTTTCGATGTATTTTTGGTTCTTTCGGGTATGGTCAGATTTTTTGTTCTGTTTCGTTCTGCGCCCGAACGAAGAAAGAGCTACCGTTTGCAGGTGTGCATATCATACTTGCAATAATTTCAAGCTGTTAGAAATTTGCGCTTTTGGGTCTTGAAGATGCGAAAAAAACGGCATCTCATTCTGCGGTCCATCATCATATCTACCATGTTGCTCACTCTACGATTCGGCAGTGTGCAAGTGCGTTTGGGCGGCCGCTGGTCGCATTTTGACGTACGATGTGATCCGCGCTTGCAGCCTCTAGGCCTTCGCCTACGTTTCGATTAAGTGCCTCCTTCGTGGCAGTTGCAACGATGCCTCCAATGTGAAGGTCGTGTTTTTCTCCGAGCTAGGAAATGGGGCGTTGCGGCTGATGCACTAAACGCATGCATAGTCTATGATTCACGGCACCGTGCCTGGACTGGCGCCAGAATAGGTGACGCGAACACACGCAACATGGATTGATCAGCGTCACTGATGTGTTCCGTGATGCTGTGCATCAACCACCGCGTGCCTGTCGACGACAGGTACCATGACGTCGGGGAGATCGTGCAAAACGTGTGCGACTTCATCGACGACGGGAACAACACCGTCGTCGCCGACATGGACAGTGAGTGCCAGGCACTACTACATGCAGCGAAGGAACGGGGGCCATTTTTTTTTTTTCAGAAACTTGTTGATTTGAAGTGTAGTGAATGAAGCCTACCCGTGCCTTGGCCGGGGCGGGGGACGGGGGGGCTCCGCGGTGTCATTTTTGTTTCACCCCGGAGGGGAACGTTTCGATTTTGTCGAGGTCTGGAGACCAGAGAAATGAAGCTGTTATTTTCTGGGCGCGGCAATCAGTATGACGTTTCCGGTGATGCAAGATGGGTGTATCTACATAGCCAGGATTGGGTAGCTCATGTGTCTCACTTGCTGTCGGATGTCTGGTTTGTAACAGTAGTTGGCTCTCCATTCTGCGGCGTGTTTGCCATTCTCACCACTCCGCTCATCGGTATGATCCAAGGTCACAACGACGCTGTGAGGCGGTACAAGGCGGTGGCTGCAGTAGAATAGAATAGGATGCACGCCCTCCCATTTCGCCCCCGTTGTTAGCTGCAGACAATCGAAGCACAGGGACCGGGAGTTCAACTGAGCGAAGGCTCACAGCTTGGCGTCAAAAATGACCAATCAAGCCGCCTCGCCCACGGAAACATGGATCTAGCTATTCCCCTTGCGGCACCTTTTTTCCATTTATCCCACATACAGGCCACCGGCAGTAGGTTCCAAGCGTGGGTCCCACACTCGTACACCACCACCTCTCGCCAACAGCCACCAAGAATGTAGGACACGAAGACATCGACCTTACTCGCACGTCCTCCCGATGTCATGCGAACAGAGTCACCAACGTATAGAAGCAAGATGACGGTCCAACCGTAGGTTGCGTAAGATTGGACACCCCCTGGACCGATTTTCAAAGCTCGATATCTCGGCAGGAAAATCAGCGACGGTCCCGAAAATGACGGCGATGGGACGGTCTCGTCGAGAGGTTTTTCGAAAGCGTATGCTTCGGTTTCGGCATCCCCTTCAGCGTGGAGTAATCGTGCTTTGAAAATCGGTCCAGGGGGTGTGATATCTTACGTACCCTGTGGTACCCCCTCCCTGTCTCTCGTGCATTCACGCCAACATTCACGAACGTGGAGAAACAAGGCGAAGACCTTACCCTCCCCCTCTCTTGCGTTCACGCCAACAGTCAACAACGTTGAGAAAACGTGACGACGACCTTGACCCCCCCCCTCCCACGTGCCCACGCCAACAGTCGCCGAAGTAGACGTCACTCCCGAAGAAAGGGACTCTCAAGATAATGCCACTGTTGCGGTGCTCCCTGCGGAGGACACCAAGAAGCTCGAAGAGCAGGAGGAGGAGGAGGAGGGCAGCGTCGCCGAGGCGGGGATAGAGGAGGAGGAGGAGCGCCGCCCCCGCCTCCCCAACACCTTTGGCCCCTGCCCCCCCGGACAGGTAATTGTGCTGGTCCCAGTTGCCCACGCGTGTTTTTCGAAGCGAAGAAAAGAACTGGATGTGGTAAGTTGTAGAAGTCGGCTAAGTTGGGGCTTAGCGTCTGCGTGCGCCCTTGCCTGGCCTTGTTTCGTGACAATCTTGCTTTCATTGTCATGCGGTATGATGCGGAGGAGGGCCGGGTGGCACCAGGTGCTGGTGAATCCGTCGCCACTCGCTTGAGCCGTTTTCTACAACTTGTTGTCTTTTGTTTCGGCGATTGGAGCGCCACCACCGATTGTGTTTTCCGGGAATGGTGGCACATATTTTGTCTGTGGGGTGCAGTAGCCCACCTGCACCTGTCTCTGGTTGCACTCCGATTCCTCTGGCAGCGATGTCCCCCAGGTTCGCTATTGAGGCCTTAGCCCCTCCCCCCTCCTTTCGTGTGTCTCCCTCTCACCTCGCGTTGTCTGTATCCTCCACGCTATCGTCACCTCTTTGTCGATTTGGTTGCGGTGACGCTGCCACCATCAGGAAGTACACCCTTCGGACCCGAAGGCCTGCCAGCCTTCTTTGAACTCCGAGGAGGTAAGGAGAAGGCTCAGGCGTTACTTCGAGTTTTTTTTTTTTCGAATTTACTGCTGTATTGCTGCAGGTTTGCTGTTTCAATCTGTGGCTCAGGTTTGTTGTTGTATCATCGCGTTGCGAGAGGTAGCTTGGCGTTGTTTTTTTTCGAATCCATGGTTTCGGGTTTTGTTTGTTGTATCATTATCTTGCGAAACGCATCTTTGGCCTACGGGCAAAAGAGGCGGCTGTATGAGTTTGTTTGGTGGAGCACCAGCCTTTGGCGTGTGCAGTAACTTCCGGATAATACAGGGTTGACTCGTAGCCGCGACCACTATGCGCCACAAGCGGAGCAAATGGCACCATGAGCAAGAAGATCGCAAGACTATTTAGCGTGCTCCGGCCCTGTGAGAGAGCGGCTGAAGGCTGGCGAAAAAGGGGGGCGATTTAGACTTGAAAAGCGACGATCACACATGATGAGGGGGGTCTACTGAGACTTTGGCAAAATGGAATGCCCTCTGAAAGGCGTTCGTTTATTCGCTGTGTCGAGACGAGGCTTCCACATGTGTGTGAGGGGGATAGAATGATATGATTGGTCCTTGTTCGAGTATACATATCCCGCTTTGTGTTTGTATTTTGCATCATGTCTTGTCCAACCGGCAAACCCTACACTCCTCGTGAGTGCTGCATTCTACAAAGAATACCCGACCTAAACACTACGCACGTACCTGCCTTCGCGACGATAGTACCGCGTGAAGTATGACACAAGATAACACACCCCCTGGACCAATTTTCAAAGCTCGACGACGCCACGACGAAGAGGATGCACAAACGAAACAATGCACAAGATAACACACACCCTAGACGAAGAAGATGCATAAGTACAACAATGCATTTTCGGAAAGGTCTCGACGAGACAGCTTCAACGCCACCGTTTTCGTCGCTGTGACTGATTCTGCTGTTGAGAAATCGGAATTTGAAAATCGGTCGAAGAGAGTGTGTTATCTTGTGCCATGTTCGGTAAGCGTTGTACAACAGTAGGGGAATCGATGGGTAAGAGCAAAATGTGTCACTATTGAGGGCAGTAACACTATTCGATGTATCAGGTTCATAACATTGTACTTCTATTTATGTTGACATTGTGACAAGAGATTTTGATGCCACCATACTGAGCATGTCAATATTGAGGGTGCCACTGCTATGGTCGGGACCACCACCTTATGCCTGTGTGAAATATTGGTTGGGGTTTGGTGACCCTCATGTAAACCACAACCCCCGACCGCTGCTAAGACCAAGCTCATATATCCTCGCGAAAAGTCTACCGCTAATCCCTCGACGGACCCCCCTCGTGCCTCGCTTTACAGTACCAGGGAGAAGAATTCGGCGACGGACGAGACAGCAGGCGTGAGGGAGGCGGGATGATCAGCCTCGGCTTGTCGGTGATCGGTGTGGTCGCAGTGGGCGGAGTTGTGGGCGTCGGCGGCCTTTGGGCGTGGGGGAAGTTTCAGAGCGGCACGCGGCAGCCCGGAGTCCGGTACATGGCGACCGGCCTGGACAACAACATCGGCACGGAGCTGGGACCATTCGGCCGCCAGTACGCTTGATGATTTGATTGGTCGATCAGCTGCGTTGTTGTTGTTGTTGTTGTTGTTGTTGTTGTTGTTGTTGTTGTTGTCGCCGCCGCCACGGAGCTGTAGGGCCGTTCGACCGCGAGTGCGCTTGATGATTTGATCGGTCGATCAGCTGCGCGGTTGTCGTCTGTTTAGTGGTCTTGGTTCGGCAACAACAATGGACGACGTCCTTCTCTCTGGGCGACCGGTGGGGGGGAGGCATCTTTTTGCTCTTGTCTTTCGCGGCTGTTTGTAGGGGGTCGATTTTCGGAGAACTCTTGCTGTAGTAGGCGTTTTTGTATCGGTTCGGGTCAATGCTGCCGTTTCGGGCAGCTCAGCTGGTATCCTACGGGTATAGGACAGGGGCACGCATGCCGTGTCCTCCGCGGAGGGGGAGGTGTTTGATGCGTTAGGTTGTCCAAGGCAGTTTGTAGGCACACAGCAGCACTGGATAAGGTTGTCACGAGGCTGTGAATGCGCGACTTTCCCTTCACCGTTAGAAACGCGCTTCGATAACATGTAGGTAGAATACGAAGGTTGTAGAGTTTCTCCGATGTCGGCCTGCATCGACCGCAACAACACAGAGAGGCTGGAATACGAGGGAGTTGGAGGGAGAAGATGTCACTGATGATTGGCGTGTGGGCTGCGTGTCGTCAGGCGCTTGTAGGAGCCGTCTCGTGTTCGCGGTAGTTCACCAAATCAACGAAGGGACCGCTGATTAGACCACTGATGTTTCCGTGGATGAGACCGTTGATACGGGAGAGGTGGGTGCAAATCGTGTGGCTGGTGGGCTTGTCCCTTTTTCCTATTTTTTTTTTGCGGTCGTGTACGTATGAATGTTGTGTTGACTCGCTTCGATGTTGGACGACGACATCAGTTTTTTCGACATCAGTTTTCTAGTGATTATAAACGTGTCCTTCCTGCTTGTGCGTCCCTCCCTCCGTAGTGCAGCACAAGAACGCGAACATCTCAATGTGTGGCAGGCCCCGACTGCTGTTGGCCCCTGTTAGCGGTACGTGCGTCCGACCTTCGCACGTGTCGTGTGGTTTCTAAATGCTTGGTGTCGATGCTACATGTAGGTTTTTCGAGTCCTCCCCCGCATGTAGCGATGTGCTCGCGACTACTGGTACATAGAGCAGTTGTTGTTGTTTCTCACATTAGCTCTATAGTCCACAAAAAATGGGGAGCCCGTCGTCTCAAAACCCGGCACATACGACGCCGCGGGGAAACAAAACAAAAATCGGGTACAAACCACTCGGAACAAGAAAAAAAATGATAGAAAGAAAAGAACAGGTACCGCTCCGACCGTTCGAGAAAAGAGCCCTCGGAAACCGATCAAAATAAAACAAAAACAAAAATAAAGGAGGACGCTTCCCAC